CGGGCCACTTCGAGGAAGTCGAGATCACCCTCGGTTTTGACCACGGGGGCCCCCTGGCGCCAGCTGCCTTCTTGGTCGGCCAGAGGGCGGCGCTCTGCCAGCTGCTGGGCGAGCTCTCGCGGCTGGGCCCAGACGTGAGACTCTACTCCTACTTGGACGACACCTACCCAGAGATCGCATGACACGATCTAGTCGTGCCCCCTCATAAGAGCGACAAAGTATCGATTCACGCGCAGAGGATGTCATTCTTGTCTGTAGAAACATGAATCGTGCCACTTTGTATGTTACAAACGGTATGATGTCAAACTTGTCGATTGCACATGAAATCCACAATTGCACCATTGCTGCGCTGCCTGTGTCGTTGTTGCATTGTTTTGCCTTTATCGCCCGCCCGCCCGTCAGCAGACGCTCCGGCTCGCAACCGAAGTGCCCTACTTTCACCAGCGACGACAAAAATCGGCGACGATGATAATGAGCGGGGGGAGGTAGGTATAACAGGATTGCGCGACTATAAGTTCAGGACGATGATCGGGAGACGGGGGGGAGGGGGGGGGTGGGGGGGGGGGGGGGGGGGGGGGGGGGCGAGCGCCGCGCGCGTGCTTGCTTGCCACCGCGCGCGCGCTCCGCAGGGGGGCGGGCTGGCGGGGGGGGGGGGGGGGGGGGGCGGGGGGGGGGGGGGGGGCGGGCGGGACAGGATAGGGAGAGAGAAATAAGAGAGAGGGATTGAGGGGGGGATAAGGAAAGAGAGAGGGGGAGAGAGACATATATAGAGAGGAGAGAGAGAGAAGAGAGAGAGAGAGAGAGAGAGAGAGGAGAGACGGAGAGAGAGAGAGGGATGAAGGGGGGGGGGGGGGGGGGGGGGGGGGGGGGGGGGGGGGGGGGGGGGGGGGCGGGGGGGGGAGGAGGGATAGACGACGAGAAAAATGGAAGGGGGAATGAAGGAAGGGCGGGAGAGAGGACGATGACGAAAGGGAAAGTACATGGGGAGAGTCGTCGCCCTCCCACCCCTCCCTCCACCTCCTCCTCCTCATCCTACTCCCCTCCTCCTCCTCCTTCGCCCCCCCCCCCTCCGCCCCCCCCCCCCCCCATCCCCCCCCCCCCCCCCCCCCCCCCCCCCCCTCTTCCTCGCAGCCATTTCGGCTGAAACATATGAGAAGGCGCGATTGGAAACCGACGCGGGGGCAGATCCCACCCAGGTGGCACACTGAGACCACTATCGGGCGCGCCCTCATGGCGTCGCAGGAGCAGCAGATGAAGCATCTCATGGAGCTGGTTCAGAAGCAGGCGGCTGAGAACGCTGCCCTGTCGCGCCAGATTCAGACGATGAGCGCAGCCAGGGCCGACAGCGCGACGCTTCCTGATTCGGCGCCCGAGCCAACGGCAATGGCAGTTCCCGCAGGCGAGGCGGAGCCGCCCACAGCGCCGACAGTCCCCGCGCAGGACCCCGAGCCCACGGCCGCGGCAGTTCCTGCCATGCCAAGCTACGACGACGTGAATCGGATGCATGAGCCTCGCAGTTTGGGAGAGGACGCGCAGGGCGCGAAGCGGGCAGATTCCGACTCTGCGCCAACTGCTGCTGAGTCGGTTCCAGGAACGCCGCCGGTGGAGCCCCCAGTCAGGCCCCAGGCGCCGCCGACGGTCACCGACCCTGAAGTCGTCGATGCGCCGAAGCGTTCAGACGCCGAGGGTAGTCAGCAGCGAGCGAAGTTGCCGGAGAATGAGATCGGTGAGCTCTTGTTCCCAGACGGCGTGCCCACTGGGAGCGGCGCCGCCCGCGGCGCCCCGAGCAGCGCCTCCGACGACGAGGAGGTCAAGGAAGCCAAGAAGGTTTCGGAGGTCCTTTCGCAGCAGCCCCGCGACGACGATCTGGTCGCAGGCATGGAGGCATCGAAGCAGCAGCAGCCAATCGACAAGGCGGGGCGGGGGCAGCACGAGAAGGAGCAGGTCGCCGCCGAGGCTGCCGTCGTGTCGAAGACGATCGAGCTGTCCAAGACTACGGCGCCGCCTGCGATGTGCGCCGACGGGGGCCCGGCTGCGGCGGCGTCTGGCGGGCGCGGGCGAGTCATGGCGGGGGCGCCCAGCGCGCCGACCACGCCGCAGAGCCAGCAGCCAAGCAGTGCCGCGCAGTCTAAGGACAGCGCGGAGCTCGAATCGGGGGGTTGACGACGCCCCGCGTTTTCGTTTCAGCTATAGGTGTATAGCTATACACCGTAGCTGCGCGTGCAATTTGCCACCCCATCCCCAGGGCGGCGGCCGCGACGCGGGCTTGCTCGACGCGCGCAGCGCTGCCATCGGCGCAGAGGACTAGCCAGTAAGACGCACCGACCCAGCCACCAGACATCATGTGTAATCGCACGCGTGTGAATTCACATGTGGTTTCATTCTGCCGTGGGAGGTATATGAGGAGGAATAGGAGGACCGATGAGAAGGATGAGCAGGGGGAGGGGTGGGGAGATGAGGGGGGAGATGAGGAAGAGGGGCGATGAGGAGGAGGCGGAAGAGGAGGAGGAGGATGATGATGAGGAGGAGGAGGAGGAGACGGGGGAGGAGGAGGAAACGGATGCGGAGGAGGAGGAGGATGCAGAGGATGAGGATGAGGATGAGGATGCCGATTCGCCCAGGAGTTCGAGACCCCGCCCAAGCAGCCGCGCCAGTCGGCGCAGGAGGTGCGCGCCAAGATGGGCAAGCTCAAGGAGCTTGTGCACTCGTCGTCGTCGTCGTCGCCCTCCTCCTCCTCCACCTCCTCCACTTCCTCTTCCTCCTCGTCCTCGCCCTCGCCCTCGTCCTCGTCGTCGTCATCCTCGACCCTCGCCATCTTCATGCCCGCCCTGTCCGCGCGCAATTTGTTTGAGCGGGATCGGTTGCATCGGGGCGCTGCGCCGCGGGGGCAGCGCGGCGATGTCCGACGGCGGGGGCGAGGAGGTGGGCGCAAAGCTGCTCGCTGCTGCGTGGGGCCTTCGCGTCGACAAGGCGCGCGCGTGCAGACGTGCTCGCAATCTCTTCTTCCTCCTCCTCCTCCTCCTCCTCCTCCTCCTCCCCCCCCCCCCCCCCCATTCCCCTCCTCCTCGCACCCCCCCCCCACCCCCCCCCCTGCCCCCCCCCCCCCCCCCCCCCCTCCTCATCATCACCATCGCCAGGCTACTCATCCTAGGCCTCCCCCCCCTCCTCCTCATCATCCTCCGCGCCTCGTAGAACCTCGTCCTCCTCTTCCTTCCCGTCCGCCTCCCCCTCCTTCTCCTCCTCCTCCTCCTCCTCATCCTCCTGGTCCTCATCCGTCTCATCCTGCTCGTCCCGCTCGTAGTTGCCCTCGCCGTCGCCCTTATCCTCAGCCCCGCCCGCCCGCGCAGACCCCATAGCGCGCAGCGTGGGCAAGCTGCGCAAATCGACGTTCAGCGGGGCCCTGCTTTTGAGGAACAAGGCGTTCCTCGCGGCGACGCGGAGGGCGGCCAAGGCGCTCGCCCACAAGAACGCGAAGGTCAGTCGGCACGGAACGCCGCCGCGTGAAATCACACGCGTGTTCACACGCGTGTGAGTTCACATGCAATTTAAGCTGTTACCCTCTTCATTCTCCACCTCCTCATCCTCATCCTTCTCCCCCACTTGTGGCCTGTAAATTGCGCGCCCACCGAAGGCTGCGCGGGGGCCCGCGGCCGATCAGAAGGAACGCCCGTGGAGCCCGGGGTCGGGGCGGGACAAGTGGGTGGGGGGCCAGGCCTGGCAGGCGCGCGCGATGTTGAAGCACATTCGGCTGGCGCTTCGCCCGGACAGGCCCGAGGGAGGAGGGGGGGATATGGAGGAGGAGGAGGAGAAGGAGGAGGAGGGGGGGGGGAGGAGGAGAAGGATGACGACGACGAGGACGAGGACGAGGGCGATGGCGACGACGACGACGAGCAGGGGGAGGGGGAGGATGGGGGGGGGGGAAAGGAGGAGGAGGAGGAGGAGGAGGAGGATGGGGGGGGGACGGGAGGAGTGGGAGGAGGAGGACGAGGACGAGGACAAGGACGAGGGCGAGGTTGGCGACGACGACAAAGCCGACGCCGACGCCGACTCCGACGACGACGGCGCCCAGGCCCAAGAAGTGGGCGGCGAAGGCGCTCGGCGACGGCGGGGTCGAGTCCGTCGAGGGGGGCGACGACGTCGGCGACGTCGGCTGCGACGAGGAGGGCGGCTGCGACGAGGAGGGCGACGCCGCGTCGAGAGCACGCCTGCTACGGTGTCGCCCAAGGAGACTAGGGACTGACCAGTGGGGGCTGAGGAGGGGGGGGAGGGCGAGGACGGGATGAGGTGGTTGAGGAGGAAAGGGAGGAAACGGACAGGGAGGCTGAGGAGGGGGGCGAGGACGATGACGGGATGAGGATGTTGAGGAGGAAAGGGAGGAATCGAAGAAGGACGAGGTCGGAACATCATGTTTGTCCACGGCCTTCCCTGGAGGAGCCGCCGCGCGCAGCCGCGCGCTGCCGCGCTCGAGCCCCCCGCCGCGCAGGATGGCTGGACGCTCGGCTACGACGCCGAAATGGAGGCGCTGACAGCGTCGCCGACGTCCTCCCATGACCACGACGACGACGACAACGTCGGCGACGTCGACGACGACGACGGCGACGACGACGTCGTCGTCGTTGTCGTCGTAGTCGTCGTCGTCGTCGTCGTCGTCGCGGTCGTGGGAGGGTGTCGGGCGATGTCGTGATCAGGCAGGGTGGCGCTACAAGGCGAAGGGCATGCCCTTGCCCGAGTTCCAGAAGGTCAAGGCCGCGGGCGGGAGGCTCGCGGCGACGTGGCCAGACGGGCACGCGTACACCATTCCGAACATCGAGGTGCCAGTGGGCCGCGGCAAGACGGCGACAGGAGACGGCGCGGTAGGCAAGCGGCCGCGCGGGGGTGAAGAGAGAGGCGAGGTCAAGGTCAGCGTCGTGAAGCACAGGGCGAAGGGCGAGCGGTGGGCGATCACGCTCAAGAACAAGCAGATCATCTAGCTGAAGAACTACAAGCCCGAGTGCCTCGACATGGCGAAGACGCAGATCAGCGAGCGGGCGGCCGCGCTCGCGGCCCTGAAGAAGGACAAGCCCGCGATCGAGGTGCTGAAGCGAGAGTTCCTGCGGGGGCACGGGGGCGAGCCTTGCAGAGCGAAGGCGCAGGCAGCGGCAAAGGGCAAGGCATCACAGCCGAAGGGCAAGGCACAAACGAAGGCGAAGGCGAAGGGGCAAGCGAAGGCGAAGGCGAAAACACAGGGGCGAGCGAAGGTGAAACCAACGGCCGATGACGACCAGAGCAGCGAGGACGACAACGGCGATGACGACGACGCCAAGAAAAAGGCGGGGTCGGACGGACCCGAAGAAGATGGGGGCGAGAACGAGGAGGGCGAGCAAGAGGAGGACGAGGAAGAAGAGAAAGCCGAGGACGAGGCTGAAGACCAGGAGTCGCAGGACGCCGACGCTGGCGCCGGTGAGAAGGACGGACCGACAGCCAAGAAGCCAGCCGCCAGCGAGGAGGTCATGAAGCGACCTGCTGCCGCGAGTCATGCTGATGCGCTGCCGCCCAAGCAGTCGAAGCAGGAGATGGAGGCGGCGCCTGAGACGCCCAAGTCCAAGGGCATCGAGATGACGGAGGTCACCGCGAGCATCGTGAGGACGGCCCCGATCAAGAGCGACGCCGTGATCGTGAACGCCCTCGCCGAGGACACCGCGTCGCAGCGCGTGGTCGACGAGCTGAAGCACGACCCGACGAAGGGCCAGTCGAGCTTCTTCGACGAGGTGGCACCCGACGACCCCTTCTGATTGCAGGCGGTTGACGCGCGCCAGCCCGCACTAGGGATTGGCGCGCGAAGGGCCAGTAAGCACTGGAGGGGGGGGGGCATTGGAGGGATTATAGGCGCGCGAGGGGGAAAGGGCGGGATGAAAAGGGAGGGGGGGGGGGGGGGGGGGGGGGGGGGGGGGTTAAGATCATGGGTGGATGAAGATGAATTAGGGCGATTGCTGGATGCGGGAGTAGGCTGGTAGGCGGGGAAACGAGTGGGCGTGCGAAATCACATGTGAAATCACGCGCGCGCGATTTCACACGTGATCTCGAATCTGGGGGGCTGGCTCCAGCCCCCCCCCCCCCCCCCCGCCAATAAAGATGCACTCGTGGCACTCTCGGGTTGAGCTATTGCGTGCTATACTGCAGCCCCCCCCCCCACTGGTGGTGCCGATGTACCGCGTGCCCCCCCCCCTCCCCACTCTGGAGTTTTTGCGGTGTAAGTTGAGGTGGCGGTGCCACCTGCGCTTTCCTCTGCCCCGCCGCTCGTCAACGCGCCCCTCGGTACCCCCCTTCCTCCATCGGTCTCGCACTTACCTTTCCGCCCACCCCTCACTCTTTCACCATCTGTCAGCCCTGCCCCCCGCGTCGGGGCCCACCCCTCTATCCCCGTGCCCCCAGCCCTCAGCCCCCCCCCGTCGAGCGCCCCGCTCGCTCCTCTCCGCTCCAGGAGTGCCTCCCCGGTGCGACCAACAACGCCGAGCCCAACGAAATGCTGGCCATGGATCGTTCGACAACGCCGTTCGAATCGCCCGTGTTCCGCGATATGCTTACACAGAAAGGTTTCTCCGACAACAGTGAGATGGCTGAGTTGTCCAAGGACATAGACCCCGACGGGCACCTCAAAGACCCCGAGGAGCGGGGCGTCGGCGTCCTCGCAGGTGCTGCGCCAGCCGCAGGTGACGATTCCAAAGATGGGCCCAGGCGTAGGAAAGCAGGCAAGCTGACTGTCGACGCCGAGGCGAAATTTTGGCATGACGCGGCCGACAGGGGTCGGAACGCCCCCACGGATACGAGATTGAGCGCGGTCGCAGGCCGCTGGGAACGAGCTTGCCAGGAGGACCCCTCCTTGAAGGAGGAATGCGACCAGATTTCGGGCGAGAGCGTCCGCAGCCGCAAGCACACGTTCAGGCAGGAGTGGGCGAGATTGGGGCTCAAGAAGGCGCAGGCACTCAGGGGCGACGACGACGACGACGACGACGACGACGACGGACGACGGGCGACGGACGACGGACGACGGACGACGGACGACGACGACGACGACGACGACGATAACGACGATGACGACGACGACGACGACGACGGCGGCCCACAGGTCGACAAGTCCAGGAACACGACCTAAAGGACCCAGGACTTTAGCAACGGCGTCTTTCTGCCGCTAATGAGAATTGCCCACCTCGAAGGTGGGGGCAAGCTGGGGTTCATCCAGGACCCGTGCCTTTCATATCTCAGCTGGGAGGGGTGGCGGTGTAAGCAATCGCCCGCCTCCACAACCGCCCCCTCGTTGCTGCCCATCCTCCTGGCCGGCCTTGCTTCATCATCAACTACGTCTCGCCCCCCTTTCGGCCTCCTCATTCAACTCCCACTCGCCCCCCGTCAGCTAGTCATTCAGGGGCCGAGTTAATCCGCGCGCGCAGTCGGTGTGCTCAGGGCTATTGATGATGATGTCGATTAGGTTGCCCTCCCCACGATGTATTCCAGGTTCGTCGCGCAAGCGTGTGTGTATATGCTAACGCATATATCCAGGCAGTGAAGTATTTTTCAACATGTATGTTGCTCGGGCCGCCCTGGGTCATATTCGCCCCGATGACGGAGTGTCTCAAAGTATTGTGCGTCGCGCGCGTGGGCTTCTTAGTTGCCTCGGGTGTCCGCCCAGCCGCGCGGCCGACAGATCGGAATCGGTCGGTCGACGGGGTCGGCCGACGAAGTGGGGCTGGGATAGGGGGCGTGGGATGGAAGAGGAGGGGGGGGGAGGAGGAGGAGGAGGAGGAGGGATGGATGATGATGATGGCGAGGACTGGGGGGGGGGGGGGCGGACGTGATGAGCAGGATGTGGGGGGCATGTTAATTATGGATTGTACCGACCGAGGGATTCAACAAGTGCTTCGAGGAGGCCTGGGGCACCCTCGCCAGGTGGTCGAACGACGATGCTACGAGCGTCGGGGACCCGCGCGTGCAGGCTGGCGCCGACGACGGCACGGCGGGTGCAGCTGGCAAGCCTAGCGGCTCTGGCGACGGTGCGACTGGCGCTGGCACAGGGCCGGCTGGTGGCGCCGCTGACGCGACGGGCGCAATTGAGGGCACTGGCAGCGCTGGCAGCGCTGGCACCGACGCGGCGGTCAAGTCCACCAGGAGGCGCAAGACGGCCAAAGGCGGCCAGGATGGACAGCCCGCCCAGGAGCCAACTCATCCGCAGGCCGAGGACAAGCATAAGGAGCGGACTGATCTGACGGACCAGGCCAAGCTGGCCCTGAAAAAGCAGCAGGAGCTGATCGGGGTGGCCAAGGACAACGCCTTGCTCTACAAGGCGGTGGCGACCAGGGGGCGGGACATCGTATTCCCCGTGGAGAACAACTGTGGCGGCTGGAAGTGGGCAGCTACGGACTCCGACTACATCGAGATGAAGCCCGCCGCCGAGGAGCTCTCCAGCAAGGTGCTCAGGCACAAAGTGCTGGCGGCTGCGTGCAACGCCGAGTGGGGCAAGCTCAAGAGCGTACTCGGCGATGAGGACGCCGTCGTCGTCGTCGTCGGCCTCGTCGCTGTCGTCGGCCTCGTCGCTGTCGTCGTCGTCGTCGTCGGCGTCGGCGTCGGCGTCGGCGTCGGCGTCGGCGTCGGCGTCGGCGTCGGCGTCGTCGTCGTCGTCGTCGCCGTCGTCGTCGTCGTCGTCGTCGTCGTCGTCGTCGTCCCCGTCGTCGCCGTCGTCGTCGTCGTCGCTGTCGCCGTCATCGTCGTCGTCGTCGTCGTCGGCGTCGTCGTCGTCGTCGTCGTCGTCGTCCGTCGTCCGTCGTCCGTCGTCCGTCGTTCGTCATCGTCGTCGTCGTCGCCGTCGCCGCCGCCGTCGTCGGCGCCGTCGTCGTCGTCGTCGTCGGCGTCGTCGTCGTCGCCCCGCGCAGGACTGCGCGACGGCCGTCGACCTGCTCAACGGCCTCGGCACCGAGCTGAAGCCGACCAACGCGCTGCAGGTCCGCCCGCAGGAGATGCGCAAGCGGAAGACGGGCAATGTCGGCGGCGCGGACGAGGACGACGGCGCGACGCCCAGGGCGAAGCGCGTCAAGCGCGGCGCGAGCGCCTCGCCCCTGTCGCCCAGGATGAGGAGGGGAGGGGGGGACACGACGAAGAGGATGATGAGGGATGCGGAGGGAGGGAGAGGAGGAGGAGGAGGAGGAGGAGGAGGAGGAGGAGGAGGAGGAGGAGGAGGGGGATGATGATGATGAGGAGGAGGAGGAGGAGGGAGACAGAGGGAGACGGAGGCAGTGGGAGGCGGAGGGGGGAGGAGGAGGAGGGAGGCGGCCCCAAACGCCCCAAACCAATTCCAATTTTCCAAAACACGCCCAGACGCCCAAATGGACCACCAACGACCAGAAATGCCAAACTGGGCACTGGAACCACCAGAAAATCATTGAAACCGCACCGAACGCACCTCGGAACACCCGAAACATTCCATGTGACTTCCCGGTGATTTCCCTCGATGCCCGGGCGATCTCCCGGGTGATTTCACGTTGTTGGCCAAATGTTTCAGTTGAGTTCCGGGTGATTTCGATTTCCCTTGTGTTGTGCTACCGCGTGCTTTCGTGTTTTCCGTTTCTCAGGCACAAGCTTCTGGTTGTGCACCCGTTTGCGCGCGCAGCGGTCGATGATGTGCTATTTCGGAGTCTCCAGCTGAGTTCGGCGTTTCAGTTCGCGGTGGCTCACGGCTGTGGCGAGCTCGTTCACTATGGCAGACATGCACGCGATACTTTGATGGTGTGTGCTCGGTGTCGGGAAACGAGATCTGCGTTTCGTCCCGCAATGCCATGCTGCTGCTATCGCTGCTAATGCTGCTACTCTTCGCCCCGCCGCCCCGCCGCCCCGTGCTTATTGCGGCGCGGCGTTCGCCGAGAAGGCTGCTCCGTGCGCGCCGCCCAGCGGCGTCTGCGCGCTCAGTCGTCGTCATCGCAGGCGCGTAGACGGGGGATACAAGGGGGGAGCGCGAAATCACATGTGAAATCGCGCGTGCAATCACACGGGGACACGATGAGAAATGCGAAATCACATGTGAAAGCACACGCACGTGATTTCACATGTGATCTCGAATCTGGGGGCTGGCTCCGCAATCCCCCATCAGCGCACGCGCGCTCGCGGCGCCTCGGGGTTGAGAGCCCCCCCGCGATATACTGCCGGCCACTCCCACAGGGGGCCCCGATGTACCGCATGCCACCCTCTGGAGGCTTCACCGTGCATGTTGAGGTGGAACAACCGCCTGCGCTCTCTTCTACCTCCGCCGCTCGCCAACACGCGTCGCAGTGTCTCGATTCCCCCGCGCCGCACTGAGTCCCTTCATCCGTGTCTCACGCTTACTGAGCCACGTCATCTATCTATTTCTCCATTCCTCCCGTCAGTCATTCCCCCCACTAGCGCAATTCCCGCATCCCCTCCCCGCCCCTCCCTTCCCCCCTCCCTCCCCCCCTCCATCCCTGCCCCGATCGGTATCTCCCTACGCCCTTTTCTCCAACCTGTAATGGTTCCCACCGCTGGCTGCCCGATTAAGTTATCGTTGGAGACCGCCGCTGCGAGCTTGCTGCGAGGCCATGGTCACGCGCCCCCCTCCCCCCGGTCGCGGCGCGGCGGAGTAGGCCCCGGCAGGTCGCACTGAGCCCGCAACCCCTTATCGAGGGGTGGTCAGCATGTCGCATCAGTGCGCCCGAGCCTGGGGTGTAGGAGAACGAGGGCGATGACGCGCACGATGAGGATGCATATGATAAGGGCGATGCGCACGAGGATGATAGGGCATATGATGATGGCGAGGAGGGGGGTGGTGATGTGGATGGGTGGCTCTGTTGCCATGTACTGAGTCGCGGCTCAAGCATGCGCGTCGCCGCCGCATGATCGCGCGAGGTCACCGCCGCGCGGGGCTGGGCGGCGGGCGCCCACCAGCGATGTCCAGCGCGAGGCTGGAGTTGACCTATTAAACGATTGCTGGGTCTGCACGCGTCGGCCCGACTGTCCGCGAAGGACCTGGCGATGCTATGCCGCCTCGCCAATGCAACTGGAGTTCAGGGCGCCCCGTTCGCGGCGCGCGCTGTCAACCCAGAGAGGCAATCAGGTCACCAGGATCATTTAGACAGGGTTCTCCCTGACAGTGGTCGACTTATCTATGTCGACACGGCTGTGCATAAGAAAGGTGGCGCTGCTCGCACAACGCGGCCTGCTCCAGTGAGAGTAATATGCGAATCGATCGAGGAAGAGATCAAGCAAGGCGCCGCGATTAGAAAACAAAAAAAATAGCCTGGCGAAGGACCCAACCATATGCAGTTGCGAGTAATGCTGGTGTGAGTACCGTCTTCGGTGGATCTCCCTATGGGGCCGCGAACCGCTTGAGGGGTGTGCCGAACTGGGTGTGGGGGCGGCATGCGAACGTTGCCGCTGGGGCCTTCGGTGGAGCTCCCTATGGGGCCACGAAGCGTTTGAGGGGTGTGCCGAACTGGGTGTGGGGGCGGCATGCGAACGTTGCCGCTGGGGCCTTCGGTGGAGCTCCCTGTGGGGCCACGAAACGTGTGAGAGGTGTGCCGAAATTGGTGTGGGGGCGGCGTGCGAACGCAGCCACTGGGGCCTTCGGTGGAGCTCTCTCTATGGTGCCACGAAGCGTGCGAGGGGTGTGCCGAAATGGGTGTGGGGGCGCATGCGAACCCAGTCACTGGGGCCTCCAGTGGGAATCCCCATGGGGCCACGAAACGTGTGAGGGATGTGCCGAAATGGGCGTTGGGGAGGCATGCGAACCCTGCCACTGGGGCCTTCGGTTGAGCTCCCTATGGGGCCACGAAGCGTGTGAGGGGTGTGCCGACATGGGTGGTGGGGAGGCATGCGGACCCTGCCATTGGGGCCTTCGGTGGAGCCCTTTATGAGCCACGAAACGTGTGAGGGGTGTGCCGAAATGGGTG